CATAAAGATACACTGGGGCTGGTGAACGACATTTTAAAGGATAGGAATTTACCTATCTTATTAGTTCATGAAAAGATATTCTTAACAATTGCTTACACTATTGAGCTATAAAACGTATTCGCCATTTTCACCACGCTCAAAAAAAATCGGGCATCCAAGCTCTTGGCGATAGAATTAGTTTGACAATCACCCATTTCAGCTGATCGCCAAAGTTTAGGGTTATAAAACGGCGGGCATTCAAGACAGTGCGAATCAGAAAATCTAATAAATTCTACTACATAAATTGACATGATTATTTAGGGTTCCGTAGAGGGAAGCCTAAATAATAATTGGGAACCGCTGTCTTAGAGTATGGCATAATAATCACTAATCCGGTTCATTTTATTTTTGACTTTTGCATTTTTATTAAATGTGTGGTAATAAGAGCTATAATTTTAAAAACCAGAATTTTCGATAAACTGCTGCATTGTGAACAGAAAAATTACCAAATGAATGATTTAAATACCATATATTTTAGTTTTGTTACCAAAATTGTTTTTTTTTCTTCTTTTTCTTTTTTGCGAAAAGCGTAATTTTTTCCCCGTGAGTTATTTTGTGTTCTAAAACTTTCGCACTATTTATTTAGACATATATACTAAAAATGGCCCTTAGCATTGAATGTCAAATTCAATCATGGAAATAAGGCTATTTTTTCACACTTTGACTTCTACACTTATTTTAAATATTAATATTACAGATAAATTATTTTTATAAAACAATGCAATTAAACTAAGTATACCAAATTCATTTAGAAATAGTATAAGGAGTAAGAAATTAATACCTTACTTTTTATTTACATAAAAAGTGTGTATAGCCAACAATTATTTTATACACTTCGATTAGATTTTGAAAAGCATCCGAAAATGTAAAAAGAAAAAAAAATTATAATGGGCTTCATAGGGCCCCAGCTCCGAATAAAACTTTAAAAAAAGGAAGAAAAAAAGTGGGATCTGGGGGCCTTTGTCATCTCGGGGCCCAAAGCTACAGCTTATTTAGCTTTTACGTAAATCCGGCCTTGCTTGGGTGAAGTAACTTTGGGATACCAAACTTATAGTTTTGAAATCAACTAAAATACATTCAATTCTAGACCATAGCAAATCTTTTTGATATCAAATATGGACAAAAATTTTAAAAATATCCCTAGAGATTTTTGATAGGAATTCTTTGTGAAAAACATTTTTAGAAGGGGAATAAAAAAAATCTGAAATCAATTCTTTAGCTATAATATATAGAAATTTCTAGCTAGAACTTATAATAGTCTAGCTATATTAAGTTCTAGTTATAACAATTATAACTCAGATTCGCTGATTATTATAAAAAGTGGGGGCTTTAATGAGATATTTAATTCTTTAGCAGAGTTATTTTATGTATTTTTATGAAATATTTTCCTTAACATTTCTTGCAACGTAAATCATTTTAACTATAAATTTTATAATAATTACTTATTTTAGTTTGTGCATTTTAATTCATCGTTTTAGTTATTCTCTAATATATTAAATGACATAAATATTAAATAATGCATGAGATAATTTTAAACTATTTTGTAATAATATATTGATGAATATTTTACTTTATTCTGAATTTAATATTTGTTTTAGTTTAATTTTTATAAAAATTATTTTGCTTACAAAGTTTACTTTAGCTACAGAACGAATAGTTCAAAATTCTCAATCATGTATAAAAAAAACTACTCTTGACGTGTACTTATTCACACTTTTTGCTTCGCTATATAGGGGCTATTTGAAGACATAAGATACATTTTTCGATCTAGTTTTTCATGCTTAATTGCATGAGATAAAATTCAAATGTATGGCATAATTGATTTTAAAGCTGTAAGAAGTTTCCTTTAAATAAATATACTTTATATAAAAAACACATTTTAAATCTTAAATATTAGCCCATTAGAATAAGCGAGAAAAAATGCATTAGGAACAATATTTATAATTAAATACGATTAGGATTAAGCAATGTAAAATGCATGAATAAGTGCTTAAAACCCTCTATTCGATTCCTGTTACATATCTCATTCTATTCAACACATAGGAGTAGCGTAAAGGGGATATATTGTTTTCTTCTTAGAAAACTGTTAGTTTATTTTAAGTATTTATGCATATACGTATGTATACGCATTCATATTTGTATATCTATACGCATGTATACACATGAATGGATACGTAATATGTTTACGTACGTAATATGTATACGTATGTATATTTATATATAAATGTGTTTATAAAACTAAAAGTAGACAGACAGTTTTCTGGAAACAAAAAGTGTGTAAAAATTTCTAAAAAAAAAAGGTCAAAAAATAATGCCCTTTTACAATTAATATTTTCGGAGATATTCGGATAGTAGTTCCTTCTCAATGTAAATATTTTTTAACGAACTATTTTTCAAAATAATTTAAAATCAAAGATCAGGAACAGATAAATTCTTAAAAAGAAAAAGAGAAACGAATGACACCAACCGTTAGCAAAAGTTCTAATTAAATACCACTACATAAACTGAAACGTAATTTTTATTTTTCAGGCAGACACTGCAATTGTCTATCTATCGACTTTGATCATTTATGTTTTGACGTATAATGCGGTTTTCTGAATTTTGTGTTATGCAATATTTTATTTAATTATGAGCATACGATTATTTTAAGAAATTTCTTATTTAAAAATTTGTATGGTATTTAATTTTTAAATATTTTACAATTTATACAAGCAGAAATTCGAATTTGAACCATTCGAATTCGTGACTGCAAAAATTCATGATTTTACAGCTAATATTTTCACGTTTTAAAGTAAATAAAAAAATTAATTTAGGGTTAAAATAACTCTTATAAAACTTATTTCCGCATCAATAACACATCCAGAATATTCCTGATATATTTCACTAAAATGGGCAAATTTTCCTATTATACTATACCATAGTTTATTGCTTTTTGACGTGAAGAAGAGTTAGATATTCCTCTATGGGCAGTCGCGCCACTGAGTTCAGTTTTTAGTACATCGGGTAACATATTACATATCATGTGAACAAAACAAAAAAAAAAAAATCAGAGAGCAATATTATTTTTTACCAGATAGCGGCCTAACTATTAGACGGTTTCTTATATACAGTCAAACCCCGCTATAGTGAACCGTCTGCGGACTCAGTAATGTGTCCACTATAACCGATGGTTCACTATATCCAAATTTTTTGAAGAATATTTTTTGTATAAGACAGTTGAATGATTAAATCTGGCTTTGCAATTTTGTATAAGTTATTTAAAAAAATTATTAACTAATTAACAGATAATAAAGCAAAAATTGATGGAAAAAGTAATTACGTCGCTAAATATTAGTTTTATTTTCACTTTTTATGGAAAAAAATTTGTGATTTTTGATTGAACACAATTTGATTTTAAGTTGAGTTCATCAATTTTCTTATCTACAATGTGCAAAGAATGCAAGATTTTTACATTTTGAACAAGATTTCGAACCATCTTAACAAAGCATCTTCTACGTTTTCTCTTTCAGCTCCACGCAGTTTTTTCGATGAAACCATGTTTTTCGTTAAGAATCGAATTCAGNCATTTTATAGGAATGCATTCATTTTCAGTCCCAACACCTACAAGTTTAAAGATGGAGGACTGAAAAAGATATTTAAAGAAATGAAATTTGAGTCCACTATAACCGAGTTTCTAAGTTCTAAGCTGTTCACTATAAGCGTTAAAAATAACATTATTTAAATAGGAATACGGACGGGACCGCTAAAAAAGTTCACTACATCCGAGTGTTCACTATATCCCAGGTTCACTATAGCGGGGTTCGACTGTATTTAAAAAGTAAAAAAACCATGTTTCTATTAGTAATTAAAATGTCAGAAAAAATATATAAGAAGGGACGTCGCTCTTTCTGTTAAACTGTGTGCATCTTTGACTACCAATGAAAAATCATAACTTAGAAAGTGTATTTAATAAACCAACAAATAACATATTTATAACAAGATAACATGCTAGCAATTAAGTAACAAAAGATTAGCTATAAACATCTACAAGTAAAGTCTTTATATACTCTCTGGATTTGTGAGGCAGCGCCGCTGTTCGACTGTCGTCATTGATTTGTTACATGAAGTATCTAATTGCCAGATATAAATTTGCTCATGTTATATCGGCAGGTCATATATTCCACTAGTTTCCAAACCTCACAGACTTAAAATAATATGTGGTAATCAAGAACAAACTTTTTATATTATATTAGTAATGGAGTGAGGGAATATTTTTGCCTGGAGAGGATAATTAACTTCTACATTCTAGAGAAACTTCTCCCCCTCTGACGTATGCAAGCGTTGAACACCAGTTACAACTAAAGCATGACGTAGCATCGTGTTAGACCAATCAACAATTTGTAGTAGGCCGCCTGCGCTATCGCGCGCATGGAAGATTCCCCTTTCCCCTCTTTTTCTTAGCAGTCGGAAGCGAGAGCTGTACGTGATCACGCAGTTGGTCGTGAGGGGTGGATCCACCGGCGATTTCAGGGGCCGCCAAAATGTAAATTGCTTTAATTTATTTTTTTTAAATTCTTCCTCAATAATTGCCTAGGTAATTCAAAATTTTAATGAATAATAATGTTTTTCTAAATTTGATCTAACAAGTAATGGAAAACGCGATAATTAATTAGTTTGTTTTCCTCCACGTGCACATTTTTTCCCCACTTGCGCATATTTTTTTTAATTCTCTCCACTCCAGGTATTATTAAATTATTTTTGCCTTATATATCTTTTGTATAATTATATGTATCTTAATAATTTATCTACTGATTTTACTTTGAAAAAGTAAATGATTAATGTAACGAAAGTCATATAAAGAAGTAGTGCTGAAAGTCAACTCGGGATATATTTTAATTGTAGCATTGATGATTTTATATTGATTCTTAAAATGATTTATGATTACTAATTTTATTTTTTTTAACAAGCTCCGAATCTAGTTCTAAAATGATATTTTATTCAAGTAAACTTTAGTAAATTAACTTTTAAAAGATAATTAATTGTTAATTGCATAAAATTTAATTTAGCAAAAATGTATTTTTTTTCAAGAGCTTAAAATAAAATTTATTTTTGCACAACGAAATTTAAATAAGATATAATTTAAGATTTAATAATGCTTTTTAATGGTAACGTTAGATTTAATAATGTTGAACAGTCGACTAAATTTTGGGTTTATGACTACTATTGTTCAACTCCGTAGCCTTTGTAATTTTGAACCAATCCAGAAGACAAGGAAACTTTTGGCAGGCAGGGTTCGAACTCACGAACTCTTGGACATAGGTCCAGTGCCCTACCAACCAGACTAACCCTACCTTCCCTACACTTTTATTAACACAATTCTCTTGATTAATTGGAACGGATAAAAATACTTTGTCTAAAATGCATTTAAAGATTATTAGTTAAATTGTTTCTGCGCCAATTCGTCACGTTTAATTTGTCATAATGTAATTCAAGGTAGGCGTAAATTGTAATTGCCGCAATTTTATTTATAAACAACTTTTTCTGAGCTCATTCGGGATAATCTGGTTGATCGAGAGTTTACTTTACAAATTAATAAAGTAAGGCTATAAAGTCTCGTAATTTCTACATAGTGTTTGCTTACTAATAAATCTTTTTTCTATTTAGAAAACTAGTGTGTACTTGGTTTAGTGAAAAAGTTGTGTGGAAAATTTATCTGAAATTATATACGATGTATCGTCAGGCCATTCTGCAAATTCTCCCTAAATGGCATATTTGGAACAACAGAGTAAGTAAATTTCTACTGTTAAGTAATTTAGGATCTTTGTACTAGTAAACCTAGTAACGATAATGAATCTGCTCAAGATGTACCTAACCTAAAGCACATAGAAGAGAGGGAGGAAAAAAATTCCCGGTCCATCTCGATATATGAAAAAAAAAATGGAATTCAACATAAAGGTGCGGTGCTCTATTAACGCCTTCTATAACTGAAAGCCTCCGCACCGTTTTTTGTAGGTAGTCTGATCAGACCACTATGAAAGCAAACCAAGTAGAGAAAGAACCATTTAATATGAAATCTATTAAAAATTAGAAAGTGGTAGCAAATATATGTCTAAAAATTTGTTTCATTTATGAATATAATTGGTTTGTTTTATTTACTTGTCAACCACTATAGATTCAGTTCTAAAATATATATGATAAATTTCTCTCAAGTATTTTTAAAGTAGAATTTGGGTTCATGCGCACAAGTGGTTGGCTTTTTAAGTACTCTGCGCAGACTACTTATAAGAAACCGTGTGGAGGCTTTCTGATGTAGGAGGTGACGGCTCTATTCAGTGTTATAGTGTTTTCTTCAATGTAACGGCGCTTTCTACTAGTAATGGCGTTTTATAAATGGAGTTAACATAATTACACTTTTAAATATAATGGCGCATAAAGCAAGAATTCATGCTCGTTATTCATAATTTAATTACTATAATAGCGAAATATAAACGAGGATAAACGATAAAATATATAACGAAATATTACCAGGTCTTAACTATAATTTTATTCTATATAGGTATGTTTTTCTCATGTTCTGAATGTGTAACTTTGGTTTAAATTTTACAGCTATTTTATTGCAATAAATCTTCCTCGGATAATACAGGGCAAAAAATATCATTAAACTTTTCATTGACAAGTATTACCAGGTCTTAACTATAATTTTATTCTATATAGGTATGTTTTTCTCATGTTCTGAAGGTGTAACTTTGGTTTAAGTTTTACAGCTATTTTAATGCAATAAATCCTCCTAGAGGCAAAAAATATCATTAAACTTTTCATTGACAAGTATTACCAGGTCTTAACTATAATTTTATTCTATATAGGTATGTTTTTCTCATGTTCTGAAAGTGTAACTTTGGTTTAAATTTTACAGCTATTTTAATGCAATAAATTTTCCTCAGATAATTCAGGGCAAAAAATATCATTAAACTTTTCATTGACAAGTATTACCAGGTCTTAATTATAATTTTATTCTATATAACTATGTTTTTCTCATGTTCTGAAGGTGTAACTTTGGTTTAAATTTTACAGCTATTTTAATGCAATAAATCTTCCTCGGATAATTCAGGGCAAAAAATATCATTAAACTTTTCATTGACAAGTATTACCAGGTCGTAATTATAATTTTATTCTATATAGGTATGTTTTTCTCATGTGCAACTTAAGGAGAACTTTCAGAGGACCTTAGAAGTTATCAAGGAAAGCCACAGAGCCCATAAATTCTGTGGTATTCTCATAAACGCTAAAGAAGTCACTCAAGAATCTGATTGTATCTCTCTTCACCCTCCCGTCAAAATTTCCCTGAACAAAGATGAGTTAGAAGCTCATTCAATTATCTGTGAGCTAAAAGAAATCATTCATAAAGATAAGCCTGAATATATTCTAATTGATACGATCTTAGAAGCGCTTAGAAATAGCTCTAATGAAACACGTCAGCAGCTTATTTCACTTCTTTTTAGTATTGATACGGTTAATTTCTTGAATCCCAAGAGCCAGAGTTCAAAAGAATACTTAAAATATTTCATAAGTGATGTTGAATGCTTTTTTAGAAATGCAGATGAGATAGATCCTAATAGGATTTTAGATACCCAAAGAGCTTTAAAAATGGTTGAAAATAGATTATTTAATGATACATACCAAGATATGTCAAATGTTGTATATCCGTCTTCAATCTCTTATTTGTATTCAATAGTGCACAGCGTAATATTTGACGAAGGTAATCACTCCGATGATCATAATAGAGAAATCGAAGCTTTAATGTCTGATGCTGTTTCACTAATTTCAACTAGGTTGTTACTATTGCACAGTGCCTCAAAATCTATTATAGAGAAATGTTTATTGGCACGAAGATCTTCACTTGCTATTGACAGAGATGATTCTGATTGCGAAGAGTTTTATTTGCAGCAGTTTAGAGATTGCTACTATTTTTTGGACAAGGTAATTATGAACTTTTTTGTTATATTTTTTTTAAAAAGTGACAATGTTCTTGAGCACTGATATTTCGTGTACCGTTTACAGGGGTAGGGTTAGTCAAGCTTTACCTTCTGCGAAGCCCCTCGGTACATATTTCGCCTCTCTATACAGCATTTTTGTCTTGATAGTTCGTTGACCAGGAGTTGGCACTTGGCTCCGCCTTCATCACGTGGTACGCGACGATACTATTTCGCTATTTTTGAGAGAAGGATGTTAATAATCCTGAAAAAAGTTGTTATTTTGGCGATCGTATGACAAAAATATTTATTTCCCAATCTTTATGTACATTTTTTTAACATTAAATATTTCATAAATCTGATGATATTTCTCTCTTTTGAGTGAATAGTTTGTCCTTCTTAAAACATTTTGCTGGGCACACAGCCGTTTTTGAATTTAAAATATGTTTTATTAGATAGAGTAACGAAAGGTATAATAGCAGATGATAAAGCGAAGTAAGTGACTTAAAAAGAAAACACTGGAGATGTTTTTCCCTCTTACTCCCTCTCTGAAATGAACTCTTCGTCCGAGGAGATGATGGAGCAAGTGTCAACTCCTGGTGAACGAACTACACTTTATCTAACAAAACTAATACCAATATAAAATTAATAATCGGTTTTCCCCCCTAGACAAATCTTAAGACATTTGATTTGCGGGCTTGAGTATACCAAATAATTCACACAGAGTAGGTGGCTCTTAAGCCTGCCAGCGAAAACATAGTGCCACGTAGTTATAATCAGTTTTGCAACTTAGTCCAAGATTGTAAAATAATTATTACAGCAATTTTTTCAATTAAGCTAACCATTAGTTGTCATCAAATAAAAGGTTTGGTTGATGAACAATAACCGAAAAAGTATATTAAATTAATCATTTATCTTGGCGATAATTTACAATTTAATTGAGTTTTAATCAATGAAAATTATACCTTTAAACATTATTTTTATCAAAAGTAAAATATTGAATTTATAGGCCGAGACGAAACAATAACTTTGTATTATGGAAAGTACAATTACTACTGCATTACCATTTTTTTTTTCCATTTACAAAATTAACTCGCTTGATATACAGTTATTTTAAAGATGGCAACGACAACTGAAAAGCTTTCTTCGACAGTTTCGGTTCTTCCTTTAAAAAAAAAAAAAAGAAATTAAAGCTGTAAAGCACAGGTATTATTTCTTAGTACTTTACACTCAGTAACACTCAGCTTCAGCACCCTAAAGTCCATGGTCTACCACAGAGGTTCCCAAATGGTGTTTCACGGAACCCTAATATTCCGTAAAGATTTACAGGAGTTCTGATAAGTACTTTTTACAGCAGGGCTGACCACCTAAGTGTAACAATCAGCTTCTGCAACCTAAAGTCCAATGTCTAAGACAGAGGTTCCAAAATGGTGTTTCACAGAACCTTATGGTACCTGGGAAAAGCTACAGGGGTTCCGCGAGTTAGTACTTTTTTTTAGCTAATGATGAGTATTGAAACCTGAGATTATATTTAGATACAATCTATAATTTATTTAATCTTACCTTACGGTTACTTTAAGAAATTATATCTAATAAAATGCCATTAAAAATAAATGGCATTTTTTAAAATAAAATATAATATTTCTAACAACAATATAATGAATAAATTATGAAAACAACGAGCATTAGTAATTCTCACCACGCGTTTCTGATTAAAATAATTATATTCTTTAATAAAGAAATATGCTTCTTTAATAACCATTTACAACGTTTATATTTTTATTATTAATACTTATTTATATTATTTATTTCAATTCATTTATTTTTAACTTATGTAGAGTCCGCTAAAAAAAAAAAAAATACGAATCACCCTGAATATTTTTCGTTCCAATGATCGGATTTTCGCGAACTAAGTGTCAATTTTAATTGTTCTTGGGGGTGACCTCAAATATGGTAACTAATTAGTGCTAACTATTAATTAAGTTACGAAATCAGAGACAAAAACGTACTTTATCTGAATAAAAATATATATATTTTTTACATATTTGGAATCTAGAATACTTGAATTAGGGGGGGGGGTAGTAAAATTTTAAAAAAAAATGGGGTCGTGATTTGAGTCGCAATAAAGGTTTATATATTTGGCGATAGTATAGAAAACCGCCAAAAAAGTGGCCAGCGCAAATGAATATTTTAAGATAACCCATTAACTAATTCAAAAGAGGACTAAGCAACCAAGCTCTTACCGTAAAAAAATTTAAATAATGTTCTGTGATTGCTCGGAGAGATTTAATTAATAGTTAATAGAAAATATCTCAAAGTTTCTAGGCAATAGACAATTTTCAAGCTGATTTCTGTCCAAAAAGCAAATTTCTTTTTATTTTAATCTCCTTTGAAAAGAAAAATTGAATCGATTTATAAATTATTTATGATTTTCTAAGTTTTAGAATTTAAATACATGAACTTTTTATCTGATATTATTTAGATTATGTGTTTTTTGCTATATTTATTCGAGGATTTCATACTAAAAACAAATTAACATAACTTATTATAGCTGTACACAAAATTTTATGGATAATCCTTTTTCAGCTTTAATCGAGTCTTCTAGGCAAGAAAGTTTGAAGAAAAAATGAAATGTTGATTGTATAGTAATTCTAATGCACATTCACAAGGTTTTCTATAATTCACGATATTTCTTTTTTTCTATAACTGAATGAATTGCTGAATGTTTACTGGCATTTTAAAAACATTGGAATATGTTATGTTTAAGAATAAGATATTGAAATAATATGCTGTTGCATATTGTATGATTCATTGTGAAAAAAATCGCTTCATTCTGCTAGATATTTAGGTTACATGGTTTTCTTTATATAAAGATGATTAGCAAGTAGCATCCTCATGTTTCGATACATTCTGCAACTTACGTTCGCAAATTCACCATAAAATGTCTGCCACACAGCATATTCTTCAATTACCATAAGCTACATTTACCACACCAAATACTGCAACCATGATTATTTTTTTCTAATATATATTTGATCCGATACTCTCTTTTTAAACAGAGTTAAATGGGGGCACAGAAACTTAAAAGATAAAATATTTAATTTCATTAACTCAAAATATCTGGTCTCAAAATTTTAATTTTTAAGTTAAATATAACCTTTACAATATTGATGCTCTTATGTTTTTAAAGACCACATGAATCCTGTTAAAATATTAAAATGCATATGTTTACTTTAACGAGTGTGAAATCCTTATCAAATTAATAATCAGGAGCCAAATGTAAAACAGTATAATTTATAATTGATGATAAAAACTCAACTGGTTTCAGAAAACATGAAGAGGGAAGTAAAAGTAGACATGTTTTGAGCGCTCAAATATAATCGCCCATTCTCAAGACTTGCCAGACTTGAATAACTTGTGACTTTTATTATTGGACGCTCAAAACATGTCTATTTTTATTATCTATTATTTTTAAAATCAATGTAGCTTTTATATTTTCGGTTTAGTTTCTTGGGATTATCCATTTAGTTACACAACATATTAAATTATTTCACTCGATATTAAAATAAGTTTTACATAAGTTATAGGCACAGGTTCTTTTATTGAAAAAAATAATAATTCACTACTTTGTAAAAAAAATCAATGCAGTACAATTTGTTTTTTTTTTTTTTTTTNTAAAAAAATATTTTTTTTTTTTTTGCAAGCCTTAACATTTTAATTTAAGGACATGGAAATAAACTTAGATAAGTAATAAAAGTTAATTTTTTACTCGATCAAATATATGTTTCGATCAAACAGATTTCATTCTGGAAATAGCGAAATTATTGAGTAGGTCCCTTGGAGCAATATCATTCTTATCCTCTTTTGACGAAATATAGGAAAAATTGGTTTTCACAGTTTCTGTAAAAAGTATGTTAGCCTTCTTGCCACTTTTTTTTTTATCAAAATAAGTTCGGAAATTGCGTATTTTTTATTGCATTTTTTATTGCATTTTAAAATCAGATAATTCTAAAATTGGCACGGTTTCGGAATCTTCTTACAAATTTCAATTATTAGTATTTCCCACTTAACAAAATGAGGCATTTTCCTGATAACAAATTATATAGGAATCGTGCTAAGGTAAAAAATTAAACGAAATAGTTTAGTATCATATATTATCCGGAAAAAATCTACATAAAGAAAGAGTAAGATATAATGAAATAATTAGTGAATCACACGTGGTTATTTAATTAAAAATTTAATTTCACAACTAAGATGTTACGACGACATTTAAGGTACTGAGATATTTTAAAATGCTTAAAAATTTTGGCTACGTATTCGACAGCTTTTTATGTTCGGTGTCTTTTTTCTCTTTGTAGTGACTTATAAAACATCAACACTATTTTAGATAATCCATGTTGAAGTCACGAAAAAAAAAACAATTTATAATTTATATTCCTTTTTCGAAAAAAATAATATGCTTAGTAAATAAGCAGCTGTTTTGCATTAAATAATTTTATTAAACGGCGGAATGTTTTTCATTTCTTAACAAGGTTTTATTCTTAGCTAGCAGACAATAATTCTTTTAAAAAAAACTTGACTATTATTTAAAAAGGAACTTTACTTTAAAGGAAACCTAAATTAAAGTAGGGTGAACCGGGGTAATTAACGATCACTCTGTTTCTGGGGTAAATAATGATCACCTAAGTTTTATTTCAAATATTTTTTTTTTTTTTAAATTTAAGACATGGACAAGAATGCTTGTACACTTTACTAAAGTATAACTACATTTACTTAACAAAAATTTTTTGTTTAATCTAACAAAATAAGTATCTTTTAAACTGCTTTCTGTATTTTCCATTTCAAAGATGGGTTTCAAAATGTACACATTTCTGCAAAGATTTCTTCTTCTTCTCTTAATAATAAATATTTTGAGTCATCAGCCTGGTTGATTTGAAGTTGATTTCAAACAACCTCAAAATAAGCTGAAGTATATATAAAACAACCTCGTACACCTTAATTACAACCTTTACGAGGTATAATTTTTATTGCTGTTTTCTCAGCGACCTCAAATATACCTCAAATCGACCTTAATACCTCAAAAATACTTCAAATCAACCTTAAATATACCTTAAATTTTCATAAGGGCTGTTCCTTCACTTGGTTATTTTACTACTTATTATTTAAACCACCAAAAGTTTAAAGCAATATTATGTAAGTTATTTAAAAACATTTCGCGTCATTTGCATTTAATAACAAATATGAAGACACCATCATTTAACTGAAATTACAAATTTTGAAATTTTTATGGATTTTTTTTAAAGGCAAGCTAAGCTTAAGTGTTCCTTCACTGGTTAGTTTACTTTATAAGATGTTGAGAAATTTGCGATGATGTGAGAGATGCTTAAAAATCTTGACTAAGTATTTTTATTAATATTTATAATATATATATATTCAAGTAATTGATAAATATTTTATTCCAAATCTATTCATACGTATTCATACATCTATTCATACCTCTGTCTTAGACCTTGGACTCTAGGGTGCAGAAGCTGATTGTTACAGTTGGGTGGTCAGCCGTCCTTGGCTGTAAAAATTACTTACTATCAGAACTCCTGTAAATCTTTACGGAATGTTAGGATTCCATGGAACACTATTTGGGAACCTCTGCCTTAGACCTTGGATTCTAGGGTGCAAAAGTACTAAGAAGTAATACCTGTGCTTTACAGCTTTAATTTCTTTTTTTTTTAAAGGAAGAACCGAAACTGTCGAAGAAAGCTTTTCAGTTGTCGTTGCCATCTTTAAAATAACTGTATATCAAGCGAGTTAATTTTGTAAATGGAAAAAAAAAAATGGTAATGCAGTAGTAATTTATAGATGTTTGCGTTTTTTGATCAGGAATCACCCCTGGTCACCCTACTAAAAAAATTAATTAGTATATTAATGAAGAAATAATAAACGTTGTACGATAAGGAATAAGATTTTTAAAAATGTTAAAATTGAATTAAATAGTTGGTAAAATAGTTCTGCGAAACACTTCCGGACAGGAGATTAAAAAATTTCTTTTAAGATTAAAACGATGTGTGGTAAACCAACCAGTGAAGGAACATTTCATCGTTTTTTTTATAAAAAAATAAGATTTTAAACGTTTTAATTTAGATTGATTGGTAACAGTAGCTTACTACCTAACAATAGGAAGTCTAACAATGCTACCTGGTCTTAGAGTCTTTGCTGAAAAATTTTTTGAATTTGTTAGTATCTGTTCAACGCCTTATTGTTTCTTTGACAAAATTATAAAGTCGGTGTTTGTAGTTATCCGTTTAAAGTACAATTAATAGCATATAATAATGCTTTTTTTCTCATTGTGAAAAAGAGAATTCAAACTTATGACTTTTGTGTATCCTTTCTAAATTTTTCGTAACGCTGTGTAAGACGAATAGAAAAATGAACGTATTTTTTACAATAAAAAAATTGAAGTTAAACATCACAACTTGACTTGAAGTTGACACCACTAAATATTAACTGTTAACTCTGCAAAAAATAGCCAATAAAAAATTATGTAATCGTAAATTATAATGGCTAGCTTTGTTTTTAAATAAAGTATTTTGAAATTTTCGTTTGTTGCAAGATATTTCACATAAGAATTCGTACCCCTGCTAAACTGTTTCCGTAGCCCTGGGGGTATGCGTACCGCACTTTGGGAAACACTGAGTTACACCATACCTTAGACACCTTAATAAACTATGTTTATTATTCGAAAATTAACTAAATATAATAATAAAAGATTAAATAGAAAAATTCTTCTCTGGCTTTTGTGCCAATAATTAGCTAAATTATTATCCTATTGCGGTCTTTAACGTCATGGCGGAAACTTGTAGGAATACGACATCCACCGATAACTCAGTGCAATGCGAAGATAATTTGAAAAGGCAAAACTTCCCTTTGAGTGAATAATATTCGAAATACTCGTTTAAAGAACTTTAGAGGAATCTTTAGGAGGGAAGTAGCCCTGGCATCCTTTTAGAAAGTGATAAAAGTGATTCATGAAATGAAACGGTGACCGCAGCAACATTTTACAAATATATTGCAAATGTTTTTACCTATGGCTAATTAAAAATGCTATTAAATTTCCTATTTTGCTTCTTCTGGATAGGTATAAATCCTATATCAATTTGAAACTGAGCAAGTTTTGTTCATCAAAACAAATTCTCTGCTTTCCACCTAATCTCCCGTTGGATCTGGAAGACAAAAGAATTGTAATACAATATGCCGAGAGAATTTTACATCCATTCTTAAATAAGATTTTGAGGCATCAACTGATGAAGTTAAAATGCTTTTATGAAGTGCGATATTTTTCCATTCGATGTAGAAAACGTTGACTTTAACAAATGTAGGCAAAACAGACACCAAGAGTTAATGAGCAAGGCAGCTCATTAACTCTTGGTGTCTGTTTAAGAAAACACATGCTTCGAGAGTAACATGCACTATTTCTTCAGAAGCTTGAGAAGGAAATCTCACAAGTTATGTTGCAAATTTTTAAAGGAACATTGACAGAAAGGTTTAATCTCCCAACTGTCCAATATCCTGTGGTTTTCTCAATATGGAAGAATTTATTGCAAAAAGAACATTTGGTTAATCAAATTTTGGTATTGAAGTTGATACAACTAATATTCATAATGAAAGTATCTGGAAAAC